GCCCTTCCTAATGTTTAGCCGAAAACTCTTCTGATTTAATTTCAACCCGTTGGTTCTGGTTCGACCTTCTGGGGCAACAGAAAACAACTCTGCCCCATCCTCTAGATGACAGCCCTTCAAGCACTCTCAGAGAGCCAGTTTGATGTAGTGGTTAAGAGCGCGGACTCTAGTCTGGGAGAACCGGGTTTGATTCCCCACTCCTCCACGTGCAGCTGCTGGTGTGACCTTGGGTCAGTCACAAGTTCTCTCGGGAGCTGTTCTCTCAAGGGCAGTTTCTGTCAGAGCTCTCTCAGTCCCACCCGACCCCACAGGGTGTCTGTTGTGGGGAGGGGAAGGGAAGGGAAAGGAGATTGTAAGCCACTCTGAGACTCACTTAGGTAGTGAAGGGCGGGGTATAAATCCGATCTCTTCTTCGGTCGTCTCCTCTCCAGGCTACCCTTGTTGCTGCTACTCCTGCAGCTGATGAGCCAAGCCACTGTTTGGTTTGTTAGTTGTGGCAGCTGCAGCAGTGGAGGGAGATATACAGACCATGGCCTTGGTGCCCTGCTTTGGAGACCTCTGAATCTTCTGCAAAAAACCAGCTAGCATGGCATTGGGGTTAAAGTGTCGGGCTGGGCTCTGGGAAACCCCAGTTCGAATCCTCACGCTGCCCCGGAAGCTCGCTGGGTGACCTTGGGCCAGGCACGCGCTCTCAGCCTATCCCGCCTCACAGGGTTGTTGCGAGGATACAGTGGAGGAGAGGAAAACGATGCAAGCCGCTTTGGGCCGCATTGGGGAGGAAGGTGGGGTTATAAACAAAGTAAATCAAATGAATAAAAAATAAACCCACCCAAAGCTCCGCCTGGCTCCCAGATCTATGGTGAGGTTAATGGGCGGAAATCCTTTCCCCTTCTAGGCGTGCTGCAGTCTCACGGGAACCGGCTGGTCAGCGGCAGCAACACCAAGCGGATCCGGCTTTGGTCAGTGGCAGCCGTTCAGGAGCTGAGGGTCAGAGGCTCCGGAGCCAGGTCAGTATCTCGTGCAGGGCAACAGTGAACAATTTCGGCAGGTATCCAGAACCTGTGTCCGTGGTGCGGACAGCCTCATACAGCAGCCGTTTTGTTTTTTAAAAATCAGCCCGTGATAAAAGAGGTGTGTGTGACGTGCACGCCCGTAGCCAGGATCTTGTGGCTTATGGGGCAGATTTTTTTTCTGGTGTGCCTGAAGTTCTGAGGGCAGAAAGAAAAGCCATTTAGCCAATAGAAGGCTGTTCCCAGGATGGATCTCTCCGTTGCAAGCTGTCAGCCACTGCAGATGACAGTTCTTGGCCGCTGCAAGTGAATCACTTCCGCCAGCCCAAGTCTGAGAACAAGCCGGCAGGTGGGGGTGACGTCTTCGATAGCCACGAAGGCTAACACTTGGGCAGGAAAACTCTCTTAAAGGAGACCAGTTTCTTGACACAGAGTTCAAAGGGATCCTAGAGGTCACCTACTCCAACCCCCTTGCTCAGTGCGGGAATTAGTCAACCACAGCACCCCATTCTGCTTAAAGGAGCGCATGCCTTTAAAAAAATGTTTAAAAATGATTGGGAAAACCACTCTATAAATGAATGACCTCCAAAACGTCGGCTTGTTAACAGCCTTGCTCAGGTCTTGCAAGCTGAAGGTCAGGCCTTCCTTCGCTGAGCCAATCTATCTCAGGTTGGGACTTTATCTCCTCCAGCGCGTCTCATCTTCTCATGACGCGACCAAAGTGCGATAGCCTCAGTTCAGTCATTTTAGCTTCTAGGCAGAGTGTAGGCTTATGGAAACCCTATGAATGAATGACTTCCACAACGTCCTATTGTTAATACAACACCCTTGCGCAGGTCTTGCCAACGGAGGGCCTTTGTGGCTTCCTCGATGGAGTCCATCCATCCCATGTCGGGTCTCCCTCTTTAACCTAATGGTTATGCCAGCGCACAGTCTTAGTGGTTCTTCCTGTCGTTCTAGCCAGGAGGGATGGAGGGGGGTAGCCCTGCATTACAGCAGGCACACGTCAATTAACTCCATCGTTCCTACAGTCGACCGACCTTATTCTGCATCTGCAGACTGCAGGAAATGCTGAAACGGAGTTTCAGAGCTCTTAAGGTAGAGCCACGTGGCCGTACCTGCAGGCCCTCCACAGCCAGGGGGGAGAAGATTAACGTACGCTTTCCTTTCTGGGCCGTAGATCCAGCTCGGTCCTCTTGGAGCAGGAGATGACCCTGGACGGGACCGTCGTCAGCGCCACCTTCGACGACTGCATGGATATGGGGATCGTAGGCACCACCGCGGGGACGTTGTGGTACATCAACTGGGCGGAGAACACCAGCATCCGGCTGATCAGCGGCCACAAGAATAAGGTGCCGAGCTCCAAAGGGTCTCTCGGTTGCAAAGGTTCAAAGCAGGTGGACCAGTTTCTAAGGCGGAGGTGTCTTCGAACTCCCCGGGCTCAGGGCCCCTTGTAACCGCCGGCTGGCCCAACGAAGCACATGATAGGAAGTTGCATGGCAAAAAGGGAAGGAGCCAGACTCTCTGAATTTGCCCATGCTAAAAAAGGCATTCTGTCCTGGCCGCCTTCTCCTAACAGCATGGCCGCAAAGGGTCCTTGCTCCTTGCTGCCCAAATGCATATGCGCTAGGAACAGGTCCTTCTGAAAGGCAACAAAGCCAGTCATGGGTGGCTCTGTAGAAGCTCATGACCCTGAAGATGGGGCCAGTTCTGTGTGGTGGTTAGGGGCGTGGACTCTAATCTGGGAGAATCAGGGTTGATTCCTTCACGTGCAGCTGCTGGTGTGACTTTGGGTCAGTCACAAGTTCTCTCAGAGCTGTTCTCTCAAGGGCCGTTCTCGAGAGAGTTCTCTCAGCCTTACCTACCTCACAGGGTGTCTGTTGTGGAGAGGGGAAGGGAAAGGAGATCGTAAGCCGGTCTGAGACTCCTTCAGGTAATGAAGGGCGGGGTATAAATCCAATCTCCTCCTCCTCCTCCTCCTTCCATGAGTCACCTGGTGGTCTTACACACACGCACACAGATGAAGCTGCCTTATACGGCATCTAACTTTTATTCCGTCTAGGTCAGTATTGTCTGCTCCGGGGGTCCCCAACGTGGAGGCCATGGGTGCCACAGTGTCCGCGAAGTGCTTTAGAAAGTGGGTGGGGTAGAGATGTGAAGGGCCGGAAAAAAAACTGGAAAATTTCGGGGGGAGAAACGGTTTTTTTCCGTTTTTTTCCTGAAGCCTTTTTTGTTTTTTTCCAAAAAATTGGAAAAATTGAAAAAAGAAAAGAAAAAAATTGATTATGGAACATTTTATTTTAACACTGAGGACAAGCAAGTCCTAGGTTACAAACTGAACTCTCCAATGCAAGAATAAGATGCATTTCTTCCTTTAGGAGGTGCTATTGTCACAAGAAAAGAAAAAGGTTTCAGGGTTTTTTTTGCATGTGGGTGGGTATTCTGTTTGTAATAACTGTTTGGATACACTATATTTTTAATAGGCTAGTTGTGATAATTTCATGCCAAGTTAAAATGTCCATAGTCATATTTTATGTTCCTAAAGTAACAGAATGACTTTCAATCTAGAAAAGACAAAAGAAGTGCTAATGTAGCATTTTTTTCAATTTTTCCAGAAATTTCCGTTTTTCCCCGAAAAAAAAACTGGAAAAAAACCGGGGTTTTTTCCGATCTTCAAAATTTCCGGAAATTTTACATCTCTAGGGTGGGGTCAGGTGGGGCTTGTGCCCAGCCAGACGTCTGATGGGCCACTGGAGATTTGATTGACAGTGCCGATTTGCAAAAACGTGGCTCTAGCAGCGGCTGCCACTGCATCACAAGGGTCATCGCTGTGTGACCGAAGGCCGTAGTTGGCATCCGTTTTGTGGCTGGCTCCGCCTTGAGGAGCCACCATTTTGTGGCAGCCATGTTGCAGCTGTACCCACAATGCTGTGCCAGAATTCCAAAGGTGGCTGCAGGCTCAAAAGGATCGGGGGTCCCGGGTCCACTCATTCAGGTAGCAGCTCTCTGGGGTCTGGGGCTGAGGTCTTTCACGTCACCTAATACGTGGTCCTAGTATCGGCAGATGCCAGGGATTGAAGAAGAAGAAGAGATTGGGTTCATACCCCGCCCTTCACAACCCAAAGGTGCCTCAGAGTGGCTTACAAAGTCCTTTCCCTTCCCCTCCCCACAACAGACACCCTGTGAGGTAGGTGGGGCCGAGAGAGCTCTTGACAGAAACGGCTCTTTTTCAAGGACAGCTCTTATCAGAACTATGACTTGCCCAAGGTCATCCAGCCAGGTGCAAGTGGAGGAGTGGGGAATCAAACCCGGTTCTCCCAGATAAGAGTCCGCGCACTTAACCACTGCACCAAACTGGCTCTCTGTTTGAACCTGGGACCTCCCGCTTGCAAAACAGATGCTCTACCCCCCCCCCAGCTGCGGCCTCTTCGGGTGGAAGACCTCCGCCCCCGTTTCCCCCTCATCCCTCCCTCTCTGTCTCCGCAGGTGAGCGAGGTCGCCTTCAGCCCCGACGAGTCCCACTGCGCGACGTGCGGGGAGGACGGCAGCGTGAGGGTGTGGTCCCTGGCCAGCATGGAGCTGGTGGTGCAGTTTCAAGTCCTCAACCAGGTAAGCCTCCCGGAGCTGTGCTCCCCCCCCACTCTCCCCCCACCGCGTCCGGCGTACAGGTCTTCAGGCATTTCGTAGAGCCGAGAGACTGTTCCTTAGGCCGGTTTCTGTCCGGAGGCCGTGTGGTGCAGGGGGCGAGCAAGTCCTGGCCCCGGGGTGTGTGCCCAAGGAACTGGGGGGGGGGGCACAGCCTTATTGCAAAGGCGATGGGAGGCTCACCTGCAAATCTAAGGAGAAGCAGGAGAGAACAGAAGGAGAAGATTGGATTTATACCTCGCCCTTCACTCGGAGTCTCGGAGCGGCTTACAAAGTCCTTTCCCTTCCCCTCCCCACAACAGACGCCCTGTGAGATAGGCGGGGCTGAGAGAGCTCTCTCGAGGACTGCCCTTGAGAGAACAGCTCTGAGAGAGCTTGTGACTGACCCAAGGCCACCCAGCTGGCCGCCTGTGGAGGAGCGGGGAATCAAACCCGGTGCTCCCAGATCAGAATCCACGCTCCTAACCACCCTGCCACACTGGCTCTCAGGAGGTCGGCGTGGCTCTGGCACAGCTAATGGAAAGGCAGCGGAGTTTCTTTTGGCCCTGCTCTAAGTCGAGGGAGAGGTAAAGAATCTACCAACCCCACAGGGAATTCGCTGCCAATGCAGCCGCCAGCCCACGGGACCTCGGTCCCTCCTCTGGTCAAAGTGGCGTGCTGGCTTGGCTGAAGACTCGTGTGGCAGAGAGCTGTTGAGAGAACTGCCCTTGAGAGAACATCTCTAAAAGAGCTTGTGACCCAGCTGGCTGCATGTGGAGGAGTGGGGAGTCAAGTTAAGACCTGCAGTCTTTCCCTTTTTCTTTTTTCTCCCCCCCTTCCCTCCCCTGCCTTGCTGCACGAGACAGCGGTGTAGCCGGCAAAGGGGGATCGTTACGTTGCCCATCCTGGATTGGTTTAATTTGTTGATCTACTCCAGTATTCTATTTATAATTTGTGTCCCTAAATGTTTTTAAGGTGGTAAATCCCCCAGAGCCTGCTTGCAGGGTGGGCGATTCATAAGTGTAATAAAATCAATGAAGTGTGTGTGTGTTCTTCAGCTGACACGCTCCCACCTTTCACAAGGAGGCCAGGAAACGGGAAATCGGCCGCAGTGCCTTCCCCTCCCTGCCCCCCTCCGAACTTTTGCCCGTCAGCCTTTCCGACGTGTTCCTTTTGCCACCCCAACAGAGCTGCTTGTGCCTCAGCTGGAGCCCGGTGCCCAACTCCCTCGGCGGGGCAGAAGGCCAGCATATCGTGGCCGGCTACAGCGACGGCACCCTCCGGGTGTTCAGCGTTTCCCAGACGGAGATGGAGCTGAAGATGCACCCCCACTCGGTCGCCGTGACGGCCCTCAGCTACTCCGCGGACGGTAAGAGCTTGAAGCCTTCGCTGGCCTTTCGTGGTGGATCATAAGGACATAAGAAGAACCCTGGCTGAATCAGGCCCAAGGCCCATCCGGTCCAGCACCCGCAAGCTGGATAACTACATCCAGTTCAGTGAGAAAGCCAGTTCGGTGTGGTGGTTAGAAGCACAGACTCTAATCTGGGAGAACTGGGTTTGACTCCCCATGCCTCCTCATGCAGCTGGCGGTGTGACCTTGGGTCAGTCACAAGTTCTCTCGGAGCTGTTCTTTCAAGGGCAGTCCTCGAGAGAGTTCTCTCAGCCCCACCTCCCTCACAGGGCATCTGTTGTGGGGAGGGGGAGGGAAAGGAGATGGTAAGCTGCTCTGAGACTCCGGGTGAAGGGCGGGGTGTAAATCCAACCTCCTCTTCTTCATCCTGCCACCCGTGCTCCCCAGCGACTGATTTAAAGTGGCCTATTACCTCTTTTACTGAAGGGAGTCAATATCCATCATGACTGGTAGCCCATAAGAACATAAGAGATGCCAATGTTGGATCAGGCCAGAGGCCCATCCAGTCCAACACTCTGTGTCACACAGGGGCCAAAAATACCAGGTGCCATCAGGAGGTCCAGCAGTGGGGCCAGGACATTAGACGCCCTCCCACTGTTGACCCCCCCCCCAAAAAAAACCACCAAGATGACAGAGCATCACTTGCCCCAGAGCCCCTAGCTATACCGTGTGGCTAATAGCCACTGATGGACCTCTGCTCCATATGCTTATCTAATTCCTTTTTGAAGCCGTCCATGCTTGTAGCCGCCACTACTTCCTGTGGCAGTGAATTCCAAGTGTTAATCACTCTTTGGGTGAAGAAGTCCTTCCTTTTATCCGTTCTAACCCGACCGCTCAGCAGTTTCATGGAGTGCCCACGAGTTCTTGTATTGTGAGAAAGGGAGAAAAGTACCTCTTTCTCTACCTGCTCTTTCCCATGCATAATCTTATAAACCTCGATCATGTCACCCCTCAGTCGTCTTTTCTCCAAGCTAAAGAGCCCTAAGCGACTTAATCTTTCCTCATAGGGAAAGTGTTCCAACCCTTTTATCATTCGAGTTGCCCTTTTCTGCACTTTTTCCAAAGCTATAATATCCTTTTTAAGGTGTGGTGACCAGAACTGCACACAGTATTCCAGATGAGGTCGCGCCATTGATTTATATAGGGGCATTATGATATTGGCTGATCTTTTTTCAATACCCTTCCTAATAATCCCCAGCATAGCATTGGCCTTCTTTATTGCAGTCACACACTGTCCCGACATTTTCAGTGAGTTATCTACTACGACTCCAAGATCTCTCTCTTGATCAGTCTCTGCCAGTTCAGACCCCATCAATGTGTATTTATAGTTAGGATTTTTGGCTCCAATGTGCATCACCTTGCACTTGGCCGAAGCCCTGCTTCGGTCCCCCTCTTCCCCAAAAAACACTAGTCCTCCACAGTCCCAGCATACAAATCTTTTAACTTTTCATTCGCTTTCAACCAAGGGCAATATATTCCGTGTTCCCTTCCGACATCGTCCCTTTTGTGCCCTCGTTGACATTCCTGAAGACCAGTGTTCCCTCTCAGATGAGTGAGTGTGAGCTGGCTCACCGTTTTCTAGCCTCCAGCTCACACGTTTCCGTCTCAGCGCAGGCAGGAGGGCTTCAGAGCAAACTGATTCATGCAGGAGCCAAATCGCTCGCTCGTAACTTTCATGCCAGGAGCTTACCAAGTAGGATTTTTGCTCACAGGACTCCACAGCTTAGAGGGAGCCTCGCTGAAGACTACCGGGTGGGACAGGGAGATCTTTGGAGAGGGCTGTCTGTCTTCAACAGGGCTGTGAATGGTCTCCCTCCCATCTCCAGGCGAAATCATCTTGTCCGGCGACAAGGAGGGGCTGGTGGCTGTCAGCAGCCCGCGGACGGGGATGACCATCCGGCTCCTGACCGACCATCGATCGTCCCCCATAAACGTCATCAACGGCACGAGGAAGCAGGTGAGATGGCCGCCTCTCCGGCAGCGGGGCCCATGCGTCAGCTTCGTGCCCCGCTCGTGGACTTTGCTTGCGGGGTGATTTCGCGGCCCCCGGCAAGGGAGTGACCGTTTAAGCCACGGCCGCAGTTGGAGCATGGGAGGATTTTTCTATCCAGAGCGCTTGCGTCATTCCGGCTTTTTGTTTCTCTCCAGCACGCCGAGCTGGGGGTCGACGGCAGCGATCTCTGGCTGGCCGCGAGTGCCGACCGGCGCGTGAGCGTCTGGGTCTCAGACTGGATGAAGGACAAATGCGAGCTCCTTGATTGGCTGAGCTTTCCGGCTCCCGCGGGTCCCGAGGTGAGAACCGTCTTTCAGGCTTGCTGGTTGAGGGGGCGTCGTTTCATGTCTTGTGTGCGGTCCAGTCCTGAAAAGGGTAAGCGGAGCTGGTCCGTGATTATTCACGGCAGTTACATTGCTCTCCCCTCCCACACCCAGCCCCTGGCCTTTCCAAAAGGAAAGGAGGAGAAGATGCAGGCTGCATTGCTCAGGATACCTAAGGAACCGTAAGACTCGAGTCCGGGATCTAACCCAGTTGCTAGTCAGGGAAAGCCCCTTTGTGCCTGAAAGCAATGAAGAAGATTCAAACCGCACTGAAGCCATAGCTAGCTTAAATTTACATTGCCCTGGTTTCTTCTTCAGAGTCAAAACGTTTATCCTGGAACCAAAATGAATTCTGATAATGCCTTCAGTCATTTAAACGCCGCTACGCTCTT